AATTTTTATTAACATTCAACCACCTGAAGAAGTCTTTATACAAATGAAACACTGCAATAAAAATGGTGAAAAAAGTTGAGGACAAATAGTCTGAATAAACCAAATAATTTTTGATTCAATTGTGTATCGAATTTTGACATGTTTTTCAAAATAATATCCTATAATAAATAAACATTGCTCTTTTGTATTGAGCCCACTTTTAAATTAAATGTCATTTTAACATTGGAATTGACTTGTTCATTCTCATCTTAAACTGAATTTTGTATATATATATATATATATATATATATATAGAAGAACCTTTTGCACAAAAGCCATATTATGTTGAAACACTGATTTTCCTACAATCATCAATTAAGACAATGTCAAAATTGGTAGTATCTAGATTTTAAGACAGCTTAAAATACCAGCTGCTGTAAGCTGGGATGTGTGGGTGGTGTAATGGATAAAGGCTCAGAATTGGAAATTGAAGAGTTGAGTTCCAATTCCAGTCAGGTTCATTATATTCACTTACAAGTAAATACCTATGGGAAAGGTATGAATCCATATCTCACCTCAGCTGTGGATTAATTAATCAGTAGGTCTTGTAACAGTGAAATCATTATTCTCTCTAAAATATTCTTATAATCTAAAAATGTTTTTCTGGTTTTAAATAATCTGCAAAGGGTTGATAAGCCATAAACAACAACTCAATCAATCACGCACAAACAACATATATAAACCATATATTTCCGCATATAAGGTGACCCTGTTGTAACCTAGGGAAGGTTACTGAATAGAATAATCAAACGAAGGTTGGTAATGAACGATAATACTTAGGACAAGAACAACACATATAAGATTTGCCAGTGGCATGTAGAAGAAGTAGTCAAGTGAATTCCACAATGAATCTCCAACTGAAGACCGCAGACCAACACATACCGTATTCATTACTGTATTTATATGAATTTATTATACCAATATGAAGAAGTGTAAAAAAAATATAGCAAATTTTCATGAATTTATCCTATATCTGTAGTATAAGATGACTGTGTATTGATTATATAGAGATGATGTAATTGGAATTTCTGTTACTTACTGTATCCTTAGAAATTCAAAATAAATGAAATAACAAAAACGATTCTATATTATTGTGGAAAAAAACTGAAAGACAGAGCCTGTGGGTTCTGCTGATATACTACAGTTATATATTCTAATAGGCAACAAAAAGGCATGTAATATGTAAACAGAATAGTGGAAGCCTTTCCAAATGTAAAACAGTCCCTGGCAAAATTTAATACTGGATTTTGAGGAAAGAAAAATGTATGCCTACCTTGGAAACATTCACGAATCTGTATATCATGTAAAGTTCCAAAAAAGTTCGACTGACAAAAAAAGGAATCAAAAGATGTTGGCCCATGTTTTTAATGACAGGTTAAATCAGACTCACTAATGCAAAATTTTTGTTGGCTAGTGATTCGTATGTAAATTATGGTCAGTCCTAAATTTAAAGAAAACAAAAATTGTCTTTGGAAGAAAGGCGTTCTTGTTAGCAATGAAAATCAAAAAAACAGAACCCAATTTTGCCATCTCTACGTGGTCTATTACGTCAATGTTCGTTGAACTGGATTTTGGCTATAAATGTTTTTCCATGAGAACAAATCTTTTGCAGACTTATTCCTACCGGAAGTTGACACTAATTGTTTGTTTTCTTTTGCTTTTTCTTTTCTTTACCAACACAATTATGTTTTTCCTATACATGTCCCCTAAAAGTGAATCATTGTTTTGTTTACATTTCATCACATGATCTCTTGCAAATACTGATTTTTCTTCTTCATTTTCTACATCTAAACAGTTATAAACAGCCTGGTGTATTAATGGCCATTTACTTATACTTCATTGACTATAATTTAAATTTTTTAAAGTCCGATTTATATTATTTTCGAAAATTATTACTGCCATAAAAAAATAAACGACCATGAAATGATTAATACAAAAATTCAGTGAAAAATAAAGATTTGCTGTGAAATGTAAATCAAACTTTAAATTTTAACATTTTAATGAGCTTTTTATCATACAAGTTGATTTCTTTTGATATGGAATTATTCTTCAATAGGTTTATTTATTATGAAGTTATGTTATAATATATAAGGTAGAAATTTTTATTACTTTTATAATCAGTTTATTTGATAATGTGAATCTTTTCATGTATGTTATTGGTTATCGCACCAATGCCAAGGTTAGCCTACTGACAAACATCACTCAGAATTTAAGGTTTCAGATTTGTAGTATAAGATGACCCCCAATTTTTAAGGTTGATTTTGTAGATTTAAAGGTTGTCTTATACATGAAAATATATGGTATATATATATATATATATATATTTATTTAAAAATTATAACATAAATATGTTATAAAATCACTACAAAAATAGCCATTTTGTTTCAACACCTCTGGTGTCTTATCAAGTGATGATGTTGAATGTAGATTGTAGTTGTTCTTTGCTATGACAACAGTGACCAGCAAATCTTGGCATATTGTTTTGGTCATTGTACATCTTTGGTTGACCTTGTATTCTTTTTCCATGGAATGGTATCCAGAGTAGAAAGTCTCTGGCTAGTTCTTCTTTGCTATGCCAACAGTGACCAGTTTTTTAGTCTTTGTTGGCATATTAATTTGCTGATGGGAGTTATGTTGCCATAGCGCCCTTTCTTTGTTGGATGATCTTTCCAGGATTTGTTTAGTACTGTTTGACACATTCATATGTAAGCACCATCTAACTTCTAGTTAGTGTCCATGTTAAGGAGCCATAAAACCATAAACCATTAACCATAATCGGAATCATTGAGTCAATACAAACAATACTTTCCTTTAATATGCATAATATATTTATTTACCAACTATGGCTTTGTCCCACAGTTTGAATTCAGAGTTTTTCCTTCTTTATAGGATGGTTATTTAGGCCTGTTCTACTATATAGCTGGGGGGTGGGGAGAGAAGAGTTGGATTTATACCTTTCCCAAAAGTTTGTAGTAATAAGAAATCATGTCAGATGAAAAACTCATTTAAAAATTATAAAATACAATCTTACAAGTTGTTTTTTTTTTTGTTTGTTTTTAAATCATAATGCCACTTGGACACAAGGAGTTACATGGAAATGAAAGAGAATGAGAAGACTTTAGTGGAGAGAAAGGACAATAAAAGAACAGGGTTCAGGAAAAGAGAATATGGCAATTGGCATTGCATTTAAATTTTAGAAGATCGTAGGTGACAGGGAAGCAAAAAAAATCAAAAAGGAGTTCCACAGGTGAGAAGTGCAAGAAAACTATTAGAACAGAACATATGCTTGCATCTAGTTATTTCAATATTAAAAGAGTGAGACCTAATTGGTAATCGAGTAGCATGCTTAAATGCATGTAGTTGAGGCACCAAGGAGGAAAGTCGGTATTTACCCGACCTTCCAATGAGGCAGGATGTGGCACAATGCTGATTTTTTTTTTATGTGGGGTGACCTGAGCCCATAAGCTTAGGTAAAAATTATCCGTAGACTCCACATACACGGGGTTGGGTTTGTCTACCTTCCAAGATGTGACTCTGCCCTTCAGCAGACCTTCATCTGGGTTCCTCTCTGCCTGAAGGCAAAGAGTTTGAGAAATAAGTCTTGATGCTTGATCCAGCCCTCTTGACAAATAAGTCTTGATACTTGATCAAGCCCTCTTGACAAATAAGTCTTGATGCTTGATCCAGCCCTCTTGACAAATAAGTCTTGATGCTTGATCCAGCCCTCTTGACAAATAAGTCTTGATGCTTGATCCAGCCCTCTTGACAAATAAGTCTTGATACTTGATCCAGCCCTCTTGACAAATAAGTCTTGATACTTGATCCAGCCCTCTTGACAAATAAGTCTTGATGCTTGATCCAGCCCTCTTGACAAATAAGTCTTGATAAGTCCAGCCCTCTTGATGTTTGATACTTGATCCAGCCCTCTTGACAATGGTGATATGCTTGATCCAGCCCTCTTGACAAATAAGTCAAAGGATCCAGCCATTCTTGACAAATGTCTTTAAAATCCAGCCTTTGACAAAAAGTCTTGATAAAACCTGATCCAGGTCTTGACAAATAAGTCTTGATACTTGATCCAGCCCTCTTGACAAATAAGTCTTGATACTTGATCCAGCCCTCTTGACAAATAAGTCTTGATGCTTGATCCAGCCCTCTTGACAAATAAGTCTTGATACTTGATCCAGCCCTCTTGATAAATAAGTCTTGATACTTGATCAAGCCCTCTTGATAAATAAGTCTTGATACTTGATCAAGCACTAAGAAGAAAAGCTAATCAGAGCAATTGCCATGAAATTGTTTGTAGAAAAGAGAGAGGAAAGCCACTGAAGTCAACATGCCAGGTCAGTTTCAATTACATTACAGACTCTTCTTTGGAAATTGTCATAATTTAAAGATATGCATCTGGAGCAATATTCAGTGCACAGAAGAATGGTTGAGTTATAAATGTGAAAGTTAGATTCTGAAGAGAAAAACTGTCTGGTATGATACAGTGAATTAACTTTCCTTTCAGTAGATCTAGCAATTGATTCAATATAATCATTCCACTGTTGAAGAATTCTTTAGGAATGAAGACTGGAAAATGGTTCAGTTTCTTGTGCTCATCTTTAATATTTGCTCACAGTATAGCAACACATTTGAATATTCCACAACTTTCATTTTACCCAGTTGATGGATTTGCATTTAAATAATTTTGCATATTTTCACCACCTATTCCTGTTATTTTTCTGACTTAATATTTCCTGTCAATAACCATGACAAAATGACAGCTAATACTGTTTGAGAATTTTAAATAAGGCATAGCTGCAATATGATTCATGGTAAATATTTATCACCTTCCCTTTTTCACACCCCGTTTCTTCCCTTCCCATCATCCATCACCAATCAATTTCCTCTCTTAACCCTTAAGCCCCATATCAGACCGATTCCAATCTTTCCTACCCACCCAGCTGCCTTATTTCCTATACGTGCCAAAGCTCATCTTCAGCAGGAAAGGTATCAGTGTTTATCAACTTCTGTGTAAGGCTTGCAGTTTGAAAAGGGAGATAAAGGAGGGAGAAAAAAAAAAAAAACAAGCAACGAGAGGAGGTGAAAGAGAGAATAAAAATAAAAAATGGCTGAGAAGGAAGAAATGAGAAGAAAAATCCCCCCAAAAAAAAAAGAAAAGAAAGCAGATTTAGAACCAATGGCTGGAGGTGGGGTGGGGTGGGGGATTCAGGAAGGTTTATATAGAAAAAGAAAATGAAAAAAAAATAAAAGGTAGAAAATGATGAAAAGAAAGTCCCCCCCCAAAAAAAAAAATGCAAAAAGAAAGAAAGAAAGAAAATGTCTTTCAGAATCAAGGAAAGAGTTGGTGATATGTGGGGGGTGCAGTTGAAGTTGGAAAGAGAGGAAGATAGGAGGGAATTGTAAATAAGTGGGAGTTGTAGATAAGGGATAGTTGGAGGTGTAGACTGAGTAGTTGGAGATAAAGAGGTGTTGGAGGGGTGGAGGTATAAATAAGGAGTAATTGGAGGGCAGATGGGGGAGTTCAACATCCCCTTAACTATCTCCCTCATCTCCTCTTCAACACCTCCTTATTTACAAACCCCCTTATCTACACCAATGCACCCTTATATATGAGGGGGAGTTTTACATAAGGCAAGTTGGAGGCGTACATAGGGGGAGTTGTAGAGGAGATGGCAGGAGCTGTAGATAAGAGGATATTGTAGTAAGGCAAGTTGGAAATATAGACAGAAAGTTATAGATGAGGGGGGTGTTGGAAAGATAGGAGGGTTGTAGATAACGGCGCATTGCAGGAGAGATAAGGGGGTGTTTTAGATATAGGGGGCGTTGGAGGAGTAGTTGGAGATAGTGGGACATTAGAGGTATAGATTGGGGGGGTTGTAGATAAAGGGGGGGAGGTTGTGGAGCAGGGAGAAAAAGAAGCCAAAGATCAGAAAACAGAATAGAAGGGGAGGAAAATATGAAAAAAAGAAATAGGATGTGACAAAGAACCAGAGTTTGGGGAGCGGGGGGGGGTCAAGAAAAATGTTAAAAAAAAAAAAGAAAGGATCAGATAACTGAAAAGAAGAACAATGTTCAAGAGAATTAAAACAGTATTTAGTGAATTTTGGAAATAGCAATTAAAAGTTCAATCCCTTGAGTGGAAATAGGACTAGCATTTACTGAACAATTAACCACAATAAGAGATCCGTAGATATAGACAGTGAAACACAAAGAATCTACTCTTGTAGAGTAAATAAAGAGTTCAGTTCAAAATTCCCTCATGGTTACCTGGATTGACAAACATCTGAAGAAGGCACAATAGCTGAAGCATCATGATTGTTATATCAAAGATGAGGATATTAGTCTGAGTGAAAGTAATGTAAGTAATATCTCCTCCTCCCAGACATTCAAACAGAAAGAAAGAAAGAAAAAAAAAGGGTAAGAGAAGAAAAAAAGGTGGTATAAGGAGAGAGGGTGGAAAATAGAAGAAAGAGAAAGCCAAGGAAACAGAGTGAGAAGTGATGAAGGAGATGATGTGAGAGAGAAATTGGCAAAGGTGTGTGTTATGATGTTAATTTGGGGTTAATAAAGACAAACGCCAAATAACATGTAACAATAAAATGGGGGTTTATTCGGTTGGTAAGTTGGTACAGATATCGCCTGAGTAGTCTATAACTAACTCCGCCCAGAACTTCTCCGACACTGTCTTTTGACATGCCACTATTTTACGTCCTTGTTTGTAGACGAGTTCATCTTCAAGAGGGGTGGTAGGTTCCTACACAACAGTGTGTTAATTAGACAAATAAGTAAATAAAAGTAACTTGTATACAAGCAGTGTTTCTCAACCTTTTTAACCAATGACACACCTAGAAGCAAATGAAAATATCACGGCAAAATTTCTAACAGGTATACATGTAAATTTTGTGCAGTTTATTTAGTGTGAAACCAGTGACTGGTGTTTTTTCGTGATTTCTTCACTATTTCGTGGCACAGCAGTTGAGAATTACTGATTTAAGTAGATACCTTTGAACTCTGTCAAGTCAGGTCCAGCCCAAATACGGCAGCAGTATTCCACTTGGGATCTGATCTGACTCTTGTAAAGATAGAGAATGAAAGGAGGAGTCAGATTTTAACATTGTATGGCACAATAATGTTTTCTTTTTTTTTTTCATATTCTCTCACACTCAGTAACACTTTTGTGTCTTAGTGGCTTTATTGCCTTGCTTGAGGTGAAATGATTAAAAAAAAGGATACCTAAAAATTATCAACATTAAATTTGAATGCAATGTCAATTGTTATCTTCAGTCTTCTTAATTCCTGTTCTTTTATTGTCTTCTCTCTTTACTTTTTTTCATAATCTCCAACTATTCAAATGTAATGTCAATCAATGTCTCCAGATGCCTTCATCTATCCCCTAACCGTCTCTTCATCCTTTCCTTTATCACTCCTCTTTGCTCTCACTCCAACTCTCTGTAACCTCTTGCATGCTAGTGGCTTCCCGCTTTGCTTGGGGTGAAACATTTATAAAAAAAAGAAAAAAATATTCTCTCTTACTCAGTAACCCCTTGCATCTCAGTAGCTTTATTGCCTTGCTTAGGGTGAAGTGATTTAAAAAAAAAAAGTTTTTTCCTCAAATATTAGACACGTTACCATTACTACTGTAGATTCAGCATGAGTACCCTCAGACTGTACCATAATAGATGTTACATTACTACTGTAGATCGTACCTGAGCGCCCTCAGACTGTACCATAATAAATGTTACCATTACTACTGTAGATCCTAACTGAGCACCCTCAGACTCTACCATAATAGATGTTACATTACTACTTTAGATCCTACCTGAGTGCCCTCAGACTCTACCATAATAGATATGCTTAGTAAATGCAAAGTCAATCATGATCTTCTCTCTTCTTAATTCTTGTTTGATTGATCTCTCTCCTTAATAATGTTTTCTTTTTACCTCCATATTCACTCACACTCAGTAATCCCTTGTAGATTTACTGTTTTACTTGGTGTGAAAGGATTAAAAAAAAAAATGTATATATACTCTTCATTATTATTATTATTAT